GACACAAAGCCTCCTGCTCCCCCTCTTGGCTCTTTCCTCTTCACCATGTGTGTTTGAGCACCACCCGCTGACTTAACACATGCACAGTGAGGTGACAGGGACATTTAACATTGCTGTGAGTCCCCTAGCTCTTAGGACAGTGCTAGTGATAGCTGGTATTCCTTGCATTTCCTGACTTCTGACGCCTCCTCCTCAACTTGTTTGATGTTCATACTTAGTTCTGGCTTCCTCAGGGACAGAGCATACTCACAAGATATGTGTGAGGTCAGCAGCTTCAGACGGTACAAACACAGAAATCACGGGCGTTTTTCAACACTCGACATCATCTTATTCCTACGTCCTACCTGCAGAGATAATCTCCTAGGGCCATTTGGCAAAATGACATGAAACAGGAAAGCAGTACCGAAGTATCAGCATGTAAAGACAATGTAGGTGAATTACACAATAAAATACCCCAAGCCCACTTCATTCACTTCAAGGATGAAGTGTGTTAAGAACGATGCTTGAGTTGAATATTATGGCACCTGCTTATTATCCAAGCCATGGGGACGCAAAAGCAAGAGAGCCACATGGGCGGCCAAAATAACACACAGAGACTTATATTAGGCACAGTGCTGCTGGCCAATGACTAGGATTTCTTATCTACAAGATCAGAAATCACATGAATAATTATCAACTCTAACTGTTAATCTATGTATTTTTAAGACTTATAGAGGATGCCGGCCTTGCATTCTGTCTTCCCGGAAGTCACATGGCGACTCTCTCCCTTTCCTACATTTCCCAGAGTCCTCCTTTTCTCCTAGTCCCACCTAACTTGCTCCCCTATTGGCCAACAGTGCTTTATTTATCAACCAATAAGACAAACATACGCAGAAGGACCTCCCCCATCATCTCCTCTTTTATGTCCAAATAAAAAAAGGTGTTAACATTAACATAGTAAAATATATAACAAAACAGTTACCAAGTAAGAATTATAGTTACAATATTTAGTCCATTAACATTTAGCAAGATTTTAAAGAAAATATTCTATCATCTATCCTGTCTTTGTGAGTCTAAGGTCATGTGCAGCTTACCTTTTATAATAACTAAAGAAAACTATAACCATAACTATCTGTCTTCAACTCCATCAAAGACCACAGAAGGATAATATATAACTCTAGATCAGACAGAAACATCTCACTGCCTGGACAGTCGCTTTCTCTGTTCCCTCACCCATCTGGTTGTACAGGACTGGCTCATTGTGTGAGTACCTTCCTAATAAACCATCTGTTTTTCAAACTAGCTCTGACTCCATTGCGATCTGCATAAACTGTGTTCCTCATTAGGAGGATCATGAGTTCCAGGTTGAACTCCATAGGAAATTCCAGGCCAGCTTGTGTTATATTTATATGCATATGGGGTATTTTACTTGCATGTATGTCTGTGTGTCATTTGCACATAGTGCCCATGGAGACTCGAAAAGGATGTTGGACCCTCTGGATTTGGAATTACGTATGGTTGTTAACTGCCTTAACTGCTGGGAGTTGAACCTAGGTCCTATGAAAGATGAGTCAGTGCTCTTAACCACTGCTACACTGAGTAGGTGTGGTGGTTCACACCTACAATACGAGCATTTGGAAAGCTAAGACAGGAGGATTACCTCAGGTTCAAGGCTAACCTGAGCTACACAGTGAGTTCTAGGTCAGCCTGGACTTCATGGTAAGACTTGTTTTACAAAACAAGACAAACAAAAGGCCTAACTCTATAGGTTTTTTAATTTATTTTATTTTATTTTTTGACAATCTCACACGTGTATTGAATGGATTATGGTCAGATTCACTCCATTACTCTCTCTTACACCCCTTCCATCTCTGCCAACCCCCTTCTCCTTCTCCTGCACTCACATCTTGTATGCAATGTGCAAACGTGTTCAGGTAATGACAGCTTCTTTGTGTTCCTGATTGGGATGGCTGTGTCATATCCAGAGGACCATGTTTTGTACCGTTCCTTGGCATCCTCCTTCTCTTTTGTGGTATTCCCTGGGCCTTAGAGGGAGTGGGAGAGGGGTAATAGAGATGTCCCATTTCAAACACAGAAAGGGGACGTGCTAAAGAGATGACTCAGCAGTTAAGAGCACAGGCTGCTCCTCTGGAGGACTGGGGATTGTTCCACAGTTCCCACATGACAGGTCTCAGCTGTCTGTAACTCCAGTCTCATAGGATCCAACACGCTCTTCTGGCCTCTGTATGCATAAGGCTAAACATGGCTACACATAAAATAAGCATTAAAAAAAAAAGAAAAAAGAAAGGAAGAGAGAGAGGGAGGGAGGAAATGTCTCATTTAGTACTGAGCACTCTTAATTCCATAGTTTATGGGTAAAACACCTCAGTCATAACAGACTATAGGATACTACAGGAAACTAAAGCCAGCAAGATGGCACAGTATGTAAAGGCAGGTGCCGTTAAGCCTGATGACCTGAGTTCAGTTCCCAGGACTCACATGATGGCAGGAGAAAATCAGCTTCCTATATTTGTCCTCTATGGCATGGCATTCATGTAATATACATACATACATACATACATACATACATACATACATACATACGCACGCATATTTACACACATGCATATGAACACATAGATAGTATGTGTGTACATACTATCTTTGTTAGGGTTTCTGTTGCTGCTATGAAACACCATGACCAAAAGCAAACTGGGGAGGAAAGGGTTTGTTTGACTTACACTTACACATCATAGTCCATCACTGAAGGAAGGAAGTTAGGACAGGAACTCATTCGGGTCAGGGACTTGGAGGCAGGAACTAATGTAGAGGCCATGAAAGGATGCTTCTTACTGGCTTGCTCCCCCTGGCTTGCTCAACCTGCTTTCTTATAGATTCCAGGCATGGCACCACTTACAATGGGCTGGGCCCTCTGCCATCAATCACTAGTTAAGAAAATGCTCTACAGGCTTTCCTACAGCCCAATCTTATGGAGGCATTTTCTCAGTTGGGGTTTTCTCCTCTCAGACGACTCTAGCTTGTCAAGTTGACATCAAGTTATCCAACACATGCACGCATACATACATTCATTCATACATACATACAGGAGACTATCAAACATACATATGTACACACATACAGAAATAAATAAAAAGAAAATGGCCCATGCCAGGTTTAGTAACCCTAGTTGTGTGTCTCTCAGCAGCTGGCCATTCATTTGGCACTGTCCCCATCATCCTGGAGTCTTCTTTGGCTTTCTCATTGTCACATTGTCTCATTGTCTCATTCTCAGCTGCAGCTGAGATAGTCTCGTAGAATGTGAGCTGTTGTCTCAGTGGGCACAAACAATTTCAGTTAATTTTGACATTCTCATTTCTGTCAACAGAGTGCTGACACTCTGGAGTAGAGTTTTGATTCATTTCCTAGAAATGTCTGTGGCTTCACTCTGCTCCTGTTTGTCCTATGTAATTTACTTATTCTGAGTTATATCATTTCATAATTATATATTATTGCATATATAATTATATATAATATATATTGTTATATATATGTAATTTATATGTAATTATATATAACAACATATATATATAATTATATATGTTATAATGTAAACCTATAAGTTATTGTGGTGGTTTTAAAGAAAATAGCCTTCAAAGGGAGGAGTTGTCTATTAGGAGGTATGGTCTTGTTGGAGTATGTGTGGCTTTGTTGGAGGAAGTGTGTCGCTTTGGGGTGGACTTTGAGGTCTCTTATGCTCAAGCTATGCCCAGTGTCACCGTTCATTTCCTGTTGCCTTCGGATCAAGACGTAGAACTCTCAGCTCCTTCTCCAGCACCATGCCTGCCTGCACGCTACCCTGTTTCCCACCATGATATGTAAGCTACCCAAATTAAATGTTTTCCTTTACAAAGGTTGCTGTGGTCCTGGTGTCTCTTCACAGCAATCGAAACCCTAACTAAGTTATAAATATTATATGTTTTTTTTTGGTCACAATATTCCCTTACCGACAGCTTAAGATCAACCCAGTCCTTTAACAATTATTTTTAGCCTTAGAAAGACTATGTCCAGGCCAACGTAATCCACATAGCCAGAGACAACCTGTCTCAAAACACCAACAACATCAAGACTGTGTTCAGGATGCTATAGTTGTTTGCTCTTTGCTCAGAACATGGCTTTCATAAGGGACAATGTGTTGGTGAGTTACTGTTGGTGCATACACGGAACCCACCTCTCGGTGCTAACTTCAAATGTCTCTCCCAAATCATCCTGGATTCCCCATCCCAGGAGCAGAAGCCTCGGTTGTGCTGGGGCTTTCTGTTTACCATGTGGTTGCCAGGCAGTAGCATATTCCATTAATATTGCCCTTCCTGGAGGGTTTCTGGGGTTGGGGCTGTAGTTCTGTTGGTGAAGAGCTTGCCTAGTATGCATGAAGGTCTGGGTTTGATCCCCAGCACCACATAAACTTGCTATGGTCGTGCATGACTGTAATCCCAGCTCTCAGAAGGTAGAGGCTAGAGAATCAGAGGTTCAAGATCATCCTCAACTATATATTAAGTTCCAGGCTAGCCTGGGCTACTTGAGACCCTGGACAAAAGACAGCTGAAGTGCTTCTTTTGGAGACACATGTAAAGACTTATTTACACCGCTTAAAACTATGGCCAGCCATGGTGGTGCACACCTTTAGTCCCAGTACCGAGGAAACAGGGGCAGGTGGATCTCTATGAGTTCAAGGCTAGCCTGGTCTACATAGTGAATGTCAGGCCAGCGCCATCACTGCACAGCTGAGCACAGTGACAGCTTCCTTGTGCTTCTGCTGCTCAGGGCTGCCCCGTGGGCAGGGATGTTTTTGTGGAGGCTGCAGATGCCCTTCAGAGGCCCTGCCCAGCTCATGCCTTCAGCTTTTTTGTGCTGGCAGCCAGACATGTCACATTGTGTCCTAAGGTCACACTAATGTGTCCCTGATGTTTCCAGCCAGCCTCAATCACACCTGTTTTTCTTTCTAGGATTGTGTAAGTGCCAGGAGGCCACTGTGTCAGCAAGCTGAGAGGGAAACTGAGGCAAGATGTCAGGCCGGAGCGGGAAGAAGAAAATGTCCAAGCTGTCCCGGTCAGCCAGGGCTGGTGTCATCTTTCCAGTAGGTCGGTTGATGCGTTACCTGAAAAAAGGGACATTCAAGTACCGGATCAGCGTCGGTGCACCCGTCTATATGGCAGCTGTCATTGAGTACCTGGCAGGTAATTCTGGCATATAGGGGGTCCTCACACAGAGGTCTCCACCCTATAGGATCCTTCATATTTGGGTAGGATGCCATGGATCACCCAGTGCCTGGCTCAAAGGTACTGCAGGTGATGGTGGGGCTCTTCCTGGCCTTCTTGGCTAAGGTCGGCTTCTGAAGGCTTTGGAGAATGAGAAAGGGCTTTGGGAAGTTGGCACACATAGGATAGAGAGCCCACATTGAAGGTGCTCTTCCACACTTGCCAAGTAAAGTGTGGCTTAGATTAGCAAATGCTATACACGACCGTCTAAGCTCACAAGAGAAAGTGCAGAGAGTATTCTGGTAAAGGGAGAGGGCTCTTCACTTTGCATCAGATTGCTCTTTAAGTCCCTGGGGGCGGGGGTTGTTTTTTGTTTGGTTGGTTTGGTTTTGGTATATTTAAAGTAGAAGGATTGGGGAGATGGTTCAGTTGGAAAAGTGCTTGCCATACATTCCTGAGAACCTGAGTTGTTTGATCCCCAGAACTCATGTGAAAACTGGGCACAGTGCCACACACTTGAAATCCTGGCATGGGAGAAGTGTAAGCAGGTGTATCCTTGGGGCTTGGTGGCTAGCCAGCCTTGCCAATCACTAAATTCCAGGTGAGAGAACCTGTTTCAAAAATGAGGTGGATAGCCCTAAAGAATGACATCTGAGATTGGCCTTTTGCCCCTATACACACACACACACACACACACACACATACACACACACACACACACACAAAATCTCAGATCATCATGTTTGTGTAGTGAGCACTGTACCTATTGAGCCATGTCCCCAGCTCCAAGAAGAGAGGGGTGTTTGGTTTTGAACCAGGGTCTCTGTTGCCCAGGCTGGCCTGGAATTCACTATTTCACTGAGCTGGCTTCACACTCCATTCAATCCTCCTGCCTCAGCTTCCTTAGTGCTGGGATCACAGGTGTGTGCCACTGCACCCATTAGGTGAGATGTGTGGTGCACTTCTTACTTAATTCTGCTTGACATTTACATTGCCTTCATGTATTAAACCGAAACAAGACTTAACAATGGTATGGTTGCTTTTTAAGAAATACATAAACCTGGCAGTAGTGGCACACACCTCTAATCCCAGCTCTCGGGGGACAGAGGCAGGCAGATCTCTGTGAGTTCGAGACCAGCCTGGTCTACAAGAGCTAGTTCCAGGACAGCCTCCAAAGCCACAGAGAAACCCCATCTCGAAAAAACAAAAAAAAAAAAGCAGGAGGAGGAGGAGGAGGAGGAGGAGGAGGAGGAGGAGGAGGAGAAGAAGAAGAAGAAGAAGAAGAAGAAGAAGAAGAAGAAGAAGAAGAAGAAGAGGAGGAGGAAGATACATAAGCTAGGCAGTGGTGGCTTTAATCTCAGCACTTGGGAGGCAGAAGTAGCTGTATCTCTGTGAGGTCGAGGCCAGCCTAGTCTACAAAGATACACAGAGAAACCCTGACTTGGGGGAAAAAAGAAAGAAAGAGGCTGGATATGATGGTGCACTCCTTTAATCCCAGAACTTGGGAGGCAGAAATAGTCAGATCTCTGAGTCAGAGGCTAGCCTGGTATACAGAGCAGTTCCAGGACCATACAGAGAAAACATGTCTCAAAAACAAACAAAAGAAAACTATGCAAGTCAAACATTCAAAAGTGTAGATAACTAAGTGGGATTAGTCCCTCTACAATGTCACAGTTTGTCACTCGCCCCTCCCACACAGCAAAGCTAGGTGCCATGAAAATTCTACCCAGTTGAAAAGCAACCTCTGGACCACTATAACCTCGGCACTCTAAGCACTCAAGAGGCAGAGGCAGATGGATTTCTATGAGTTTTGGACTAGCCTGGTCTACATAGTGAGTGCCAGGCCAGCCAGAGCTACATACAATTAAGAGAAAGGAAAGCTGAGCATCACCCTGAAGCTACATACCAGATAATCTAATAGGGCATTAATTTCAAAATATATGTCCCCTCTGCCCCACAAGTGTGTTTGCACTTATTTTTTGTTTGTTTTGTTTTTGTTTTTGAGGCAGGATTTCTCTGTGTAGCTCTGTAGACCCAGCTGGGCCTCAAACTCACAGAAATCTGCCTGCCTCTGTCTCCTGAGTGCTGGGACTAAAGGTGAATGCCACCACCGCCCGGCTTCTGTTCATACTTCTTATACTACAATGCCCCAATCTTTAATTCAGCAAATGAGGTCACGGGCTGAGGAGATGGCTTAGTAACTAAAGTGCTTGCTATGCAAGCATGAGGACCTCAGTTAGTACCCCAACACCCGTGCAAAAGTCGTGCTTGGTTTATAATCCCCAAAGCTCACTGGCCAGCCAGTCTAGCCAAAAGAGCAAGCTCTCATTTCAGTGAAAGACTCTCAAAAAGTATGGTATAAAAAAGGGGGACCCTAAGAGGGACACACATGGAAGGCCCAGGAAGGAAAAATAGTTAAGATCTCCTGGGTAAACTGGGAGGGGTGGATAGAAGGGAGAGGATGGGGGATGGGAACATGAGGGATCAAGAAGATGGAGTTGGGGGAGAGATGGAGGGGGAGAGCAATGAAAGAGATACCTTGATAGAGGGAGCCATTATGGGGAGGGAGGGGAAACTGGGGTTGGTATGTAAAATTAAAAATATTTTTTTAAATAAGAAGTATGTTGTAAAAAATAGAGGATGGCTGGACTGTGGTGGTGCATACCTTTAATCCCAGCACTCAGGAGGCAGAGCAGGAGGGTCTCGGTGAGTTTGAGGCCATGCTGGTCTATGGAGCAAGTTCTGGACAGCCAGGATTGTTATATAGAGCAACCTTGTCTCATAAAACCAATAAATAAATAAATAATAGAGGATGACCCCTGATGTCAACCTTTGGCTTCCACATAGGCAGGAATGCAACACACAGACACACAGACACACACACACACACACACACACACACACACACACTGTGGTCACTGTGTCAGTGAACTGTTAGTAAACTCAGCCATTGCTGAGTATTCCAAGAAAGGCATGAGAAGAATGTGGAGTTCATTCCATATAAATATTTTAACTCTAGTGTTTGTTTTATTTTAGTGTTTTTGTTAATTACATCTGCCTGGCTAATATGGCATACTTACGCCAAGTTTCAGCCATTGCCATGGGTCTTCTGGATGATAGCAACTTTATGGGCTTTTTGGTCTAAAATTTGGTTGGTTGCAAAGGCACGTGTGGAATCCCCTGTTGATTTCAGGCATGAGTTTTTATGCCATTGTACAGCAGAATCCTTGAAAACACAGAGACTCGTCTGCACACATCCACACGGGACATTTGTGCAAACACATGCACCTTTCCTTCCCTCTTCAGTGAGACATGTTGGCCCACTGCCTCCTACTTCCTCGTAAACAGCTTTCTCATTAAAACTCACTCTTTCTGGCTGGAGAGATGGCTCGGAGGTTAAGAGCACTGACTGCTCTTCCAGAGGTCCTGGGTTCAATTCCCAGCACCCACATGGTGGTTCACAACCATCCATTATGAGATCTGGTGCCCTCTTCTGGTGTGCAGAGATACATAGAAGCAGAATGTTGTATACATAATAAATAAATAAAATCTTAAAAGAAGAAAACTCACTCAGCCGGGCGTTGGTGGTGCATGCCTTTAATCCCAGCACTCGGGAAGCAGAGGCAGGCGGATCTATCTCTGTGAGTTGGAGGCCAGTGTAGTCTCCAGAGTGAGTGCCAGGATAGGCTCCAAAGCTACACAGAGAAACCCTGTCTCAAAAAAAAAAAACAAAAAAAACAAAACAAAACAAAAAAACCCTCACTCTTTCGATTTTTTTTCCATTTTCTTGGTTGTTTGTTTGTTTTAAAGATTTGTTTTGTATTTGAATTTAAAAGATTTGTTGTTTTGGGGTTTTTTTGTTTTTTTTTGTTGTTGTTGTTTTACAAATCCACTTTTATTTATTTACTTTTCATTAGTTTAAATTCTGGAAGGGTACAGCATCACACGGATTCTGTGTCCAATGGCTTTTACAGGAAGGTTGCTTCGGAATTTGGCATGAACCATGCCACTGTTTCCATGGGCCCTGGTTACTTTTCCCCAGATCACTCTGGTTTTGTTTGGTTTGCCGCCGGGTGTCACTGTGTTGTTTTTTGCTTTATACACGTAAGCACATCTCCTGCCCAATAGAATTCCGTGTCATCTCGGGCATAAACACCTTCAATTTTAAGAAGAGCTGTGTGCTCTCTCTGGTTCCGGAGACCTCGCTTAGAGCCAGCAAAAATGGCCTTGCACCACAGCCTTCCAGACATATTTGCCTTTTAGAAGTTCTGTTCCCAGCAGGCCTCCACTGGCGCCAAGATGGCAGAAAGAGCAAAAGATTTGTTTTTTATTGGTATTTATGTATGTATCTATGTACGTGTATCTCACATGTGAGTGTGTATCACATGATAGGAGACTGTGAACCACCCTACCCAACATGGGTTCTGGGAACTGAACCCTGGTCCTCTGGAAGAGCAGCCAGCGCTCTTAACCGATGAGCTATCTCGCCAGCCCCTCGTTCACACTTTTTAAAGCCAATGAATCATCTTTCCACAACTGAAGAGAAAGTCAAATAAATCTTTAGTTAAAAATAAAACAAATCGTTCCAGTAACTACATGGTGGCTCACAGCCATCTCTAGCGCCAGTTCTAGGGGATCCAAAACCCTCTTCTGAACGCTGCAGTCTCCATGCGCGTGCGTGGTGCACACATACACATGAAGGTAAAACACTTGAAGATACAAAATATGCAAATTTAAAAGAAATAAGAAATGACAGAGAAACAAATGGTATATAAAAAGCACCAGATATATTCAACCTCTGTGGCCTTTGGACCAAATACACCCATGTAACCCATAGTTACATTCATGTAACTATGAATACATCCCAAAACAAAAGTCACAAATTTTAGGCTGGGAGGGATGGCTCAGCAGGTAAAGACACTTGCTGTGTCAATCTGACAACACGGGTCTAATTTCCAGAATCCACATAAAGGTGGAAAGAGAGAACCAACTCTACAAAGTTGTTTTCTGACCTCCACATGTGGGCGAATGCACCTACACACACCAATAATGATATAATTTGATTGTCTAAGCTCCCCTTGTAATTTCAGCGGAAATCCTAGAGTTAGCTGGAAATGCTGCCAGGGACAACAAGAAGGCCCGGATAGCCCCGAGACACATCCTGCTGGCCGTTGCCAACGATGAGGAGCTCAACCAGGTAGGTCTGCACCCTAGACTCAACTTTGAGAGGTGGGGGCTACTGGGTTGGCAGGCATACTCTTGGGTGGACCCAGTCAGCCATCAGTCATTCTTGTGATAGTTCCCAGTCCTTTTTTCAGAACAACACACACACACACACACACACACACACACACACACACACACACCAGGATGAGGTAGAGAAGAGCAAATCCTGATGGCTCTGCATTCAGAGTCAAGATCAAATCCCCTCTTGAACAGACTCTGCCTTACCTTCCAGACCTGTCCCATCATTAAATACAAATCGCTGCATGCATGTACTATTCCTGGCAATTTCTTGACTCAAACCCTGTGGATGATTTATTGGGATCTGAGTAGGAGACTCCTTATTTATTCAATAGAACTGATTGACTCCACAGTCAAGTGAATGCCAGGCAAGCTGGTGGGTAAATACTATGAGAAATTTTATTTATACTTATGCTCTGATGTCATTGTTCTCAAACTAAAGAATCTTCAAAGTTGCCAATCTATCATATATTGATTATTTTCCAAAAAAAAAGTAATAAAAACTGGTCACTAGAAAAATAAGAAATAAACTGGGTGGTGGTGGTGGTGGCACATGTCTATAATCCCAGCACTCGGGAGGCAGAGGCAAGTGGATCTCTGTGAGTTCAGTGCCAGCCTGGTCTCCAGAGCAAGTGCCAGGATAGGCTCCAAAGCTACACAGAGAAACCCTGTCTCAAAAAACAAACAAACAAAAAATAAAGGCGTGAAAATGAAAATCTGCAAGCTTTTGTTGTCAGAGTTAACAGTGCTGTAATATCTGCCAGTTTGCTGTAGATGTTTCTAGACTCTCAAGTATCTGTGCTGCTCTGGTCACATACCGGTGGCTTAGTGGTTCATGGATCAGCTGTGGGTTGAGACCACCCTCTGCTTTAAAATATGCAGAATATATGGCCATGGATTGATTATTCAAAATGTATCCAGCGGGAGGTACACGGTCAAACATATATGTTCCTGATAGGACACAGGTTTCAGAGTGTGTAAACCACTGGATCTCATTCTTGTGTTAACCTTTGAACCCAGCTGTGCTTCCTACCTGTGAAGCCCTCTATTCTTGGTTGTCATCTGAAATTCCAGAGCCCTGGGCATCGTCCCAGTTGTGACTTCTCTGGCCCTTTGATTTTGCCTTGTTTTTGCTTTCTATGCAAGACCACAGACCAGGAGGTGCCTACTGAGAAATGTTTTGCAAGCACAGGATGGGAGCGCCTGTAACTTCCTGTTAATCAGTTCTATTTGTTAAGCACAAGTGAGACTCCATCCTTGTTTGACCAGTACTGAGACCTGTGTTAGCTGGCACAGACATGACCAGCTCTTTGCATTTCTCTCCAAGCTGCTGAAAGGAGTGACCATCGCCAGTGGGGGTGTCCTGCCGAGAATTCACCCTGAGCTGCTGGCCAAAAAGCGAGGGACCAAAGGAAAGTCAGAAACGATCCTCTCCCCACCCCCAGAGAAAAGAGGAAGGAAGGCCGCATCAGGCAAGAAAGGGGGTAAGAAATCCAAGGCCACCAAGCCCCGGACGTCCAAGAAGGTGAGTCACAGGGCATTTCAGGAGCCAGGTATTACCACTGCCATAGACACACTGCTTCTCTGTATAACTCTAACCCCCAAGGACATGATTAGGAGGTGGAGCCTTTGATCAGTGGTGACATCATGGGAACACATCCTTCACTGCAAGATTAGTGTCTGTCTTAGTTTACTTTCCCACTACTGTGATAAAATATCCCAACAAAAGCAACTTTAGGGAGGAGTTTATTTTGGCTCATAGTTCAAGGGTATAATCCATTATAGGGTTGGAGGGAGTCAAGGTGGCAGGAGTTTGCAGCTGGGCATGGTGGCACACATCTTTAATCCCAGCACTCGAGAGGCAGAGGCAGACAGATCTCTGTGAGTTCGAGGCCAGCCTGGTCTCCAGAGCGAGTGCCAGGATAGGCTCCAAAGCTACACAGAGAAACCCTGTCTTGAAAAACCAAAAAAGAAGAAGAAGGTAGATCTCTGAGTTCCAGGACAGCCAGGACTATGCAGAGAAACCCTGTTTTGAAAAGCCAAAAAAGTGACAGGAGTTTGAAGCCACTGGTCCACATCCACAGAGAGGAAACAGAGACCATAAATGAATTCTCGGCTCCCTTTCTCCATTTAATGCAGTCCAGTATCCCTACCAGGGAATGATGCTGCCCACAGTGGGCAGTATTAGTGAAATCAAAATAATCCCTCATAGGCATGCAGAGTCGCAGTCCCAGGTGAGTCTAGAGCCTGTCAAGGTGACAGTACCAACCGTCACAAAACCCTTATAGTAAGGCCCGAAACAGCTTCTTCATCTTCCATCATTTGAGGACACAGTCATACAGTATCACCTACAAGGAAGCTAGCCCTTGCCAGACACAGACTCTTCTAGAAAACCTTCATCTGGATCTTCCTGGCCCTCTAGAAGTAAAAGGAATATATTTCTGTGTTTACAAGCCACACATCTATGTTATGTGTCATAGCAGCCTGAACAGGTTGACATGCCCTTACAGTCAGTTTTTGCAAAGGTCCAAAGACACTGTAGCTCAGCACTGGGATTAAGTGATAAAATTGTGTATGGTGCTGGGTGTGGTGGCATGGGCTTCTTTTTTTTAAGATTTTTTTTATTTATTATGCATACAACATTCTGCTTCCATGTATATCTGCACACCAAAAGAGGGTACCATATCTCATAACGGATGGTTGTGAGCCACCATGTGGTTGCTGGGAATTGAACTCAGGACCTCTGGAAGAGCAGTTGGTGCTCTTAACCACTGAGCCATCTCTCCAGTTTGTGACATAGGCTTCTAATCCTAGTATTTTGAAGCTGGGGCAGGAGAATTACAAATTTGAGGTCAGCCTGGGCTATCTAGTAAATCTCAGTCTGGGGCTAAAAAGGAGTAGGGAGGATGTGTATGCATAAGAGTAAAGAACCTTTGAGGTGGGGCTGGAGAGATGGCTCAGTGGTTAAGAACACCGGCTGCTCTTCTAGAGGACCCAGGTTCGATTCCCAGCACCCACAACTGTCTGTAATTCTAGTTCCAGGAGATCTCATGCCCTCTTCTGGCCTCCAAAGGCACCAGGCATTGTACATGGTACACAAACACATGCATAGGCAAACACTTAAACCCCTAAAATAATAGAATAAAATAAAATTTAAAGAATCTTAAATTCTAGAGTTGATATCTTCATGTTTCCAAAGAATGGTGGTTTTCATGTTCTCTTTTTAAAGCAAAGCTGGACAAGTACTCCCCTGCTGAGCCACACTCCTGGCCCTCAGATCCCGTGTGTGTGTGTGTGTGTGTGTGTGTGTGTGTGTGTGTGTTTGAGACCAGGTTTCTCTATGTAACAGCGCTAGCTGTCCTGGAACTTACTCTGTAGATCAGGCTGGCCTCGAATTCACAGAGACCCACCTGCCTCTGCCTCCTGAGTACTGGGATTAAAGGTGTGTGCCACCACTGCCAAGCTACCTCAGATCCGTCTTACTGCCTGCCTTAGTCAGCTTTTATTGCTATAACAAAATAACTGAAATATTCAACTTCTGGGGAAGAAAGGTTCATTCTGGCTCATGGTATCAGAGGCATCAAGTTCATATTATATTCACTTGGCCCTGTTACTCTGGAGCCAGGTCAAGAGAGAACATCTTGGCAGTAGTGTATGGAAGAACAGAACTGCTCACTGCATGGTAGCCAGGAAGTAGCAAGAAAAAGAGCAGAAACCAGAGCCCCAGCGTCTGCTGTAAGGGCACCCAGTGAATGACCTGACTTCCTCCCACTATGGCCCACCTCCTAAAGTTTCCACCACCCCTCAATGGTGCCACAAGCTGCCAATCAAACCTTCAACACATGACCTTCAGAGGGCATTTAAGGGCTGAACCCTAGCACTGTCCCCACCAAAGTCAGGAGTGACATCAACCTAGGGGTATTGTTATCCACTATGTGCAAAGCTCAGGTTGGGTGTTAAGCCACCTTCAGGGTCTCACAGACAGGGCCCTGAATTTGGTCAATAGATTCCATGTGATTTGCGCAGCTTGCAAGCTAAGTGGCTTAGCTCCATGATGCCACCACCACTTGTGGAAAAGTATTTTCACGTTCGGCCTAATACAGTAAGCACCAGTCACAAGTGACTATCGCAGCTTGAAATAAAATTAAGCTGGGGATATAGCTTAGTGGTGCAGCACGCACCCATCATGTGGGAGGCCCTGGGTTTTCTCCCAAGCACTGATGAAAATCCAACAACAACTAATAACCCCAAATAAAAAGTTTTGCCCCTCAAGTGCGCTAGCCACATTTCACATGCTCAGTAGCCCCGAGCCGCAGAGATGTCAAGTGTTTCCATCGAGGGTGGTTCTGTTAAACAGGAGCTTTGCTTGTAAAAATTTTCACTCTGCAGATCTCCATGAGAACAAAAGATCACACAAGAGTTCATGCCACTGCCCCATAGCCCCAGGACAATCCTGGGGAGGAGGGAGGCCCAGCATTAATGCAGTTTCTTGACCCTGCTACTTGGCTTAGAGTTCAGTGGTTCTTGACTTTCCTGACACTGCAACCCTTTAATGCAGTTCCTCATGTTGTAGTGACCCCCAGCCATAAAATTATTGTTGGTGCTACTTCATAACTGTGATTTTGCTACTGTTATAAAGCATAATGTTAATGTCTGGAATGCAGGATGTCTGATCTGCAACCCAAAGGGGTTGCGGCCCTCACGCTGAGAACCGCTGGCTTAGATGCTTGTCATAAACTGTAGGCATAGACAGATTAACGTAAGCGGCCAGGAATAACGTCTCTATGTCCAGATCTGGATGAAGACTATAGGACCTGTGAGCTCCTGTAATAATCATGATACTGCAGGGTTTTGTTTGTTTACGACAGATCTTTTGTGGCCCAGGTTGGCCTCACTTGTCTTTGTAGCTGAGGATGACCTTGAACTTCTGATTATGCAGTGTCCACCTCCTGAGTGCTTGGATACTATCACACCTTGTGTATTGAGTGATGGATACCCTCACACCCAGGGCTTCCTACCTGTGAGGCAGGCAGGCACTCTAGCAACTGAGCTGCTTTACCTCTCCATATTGTGTCACCCTTCTCTTTTCCCCGTTTTGCTGTCTCCTGTTTCTCTCCACGTGGCTCAGGAGCACTGTACATGATTAGCTGTGTGAAGCCAAGAGTTCTGTCTGTAGACCCCCACCCCCACCCCAAAGAAAAGAAACAGCAGAGGGGCTGGTGGAGGGCGTGAGCAAGGACAGTGGTACGTGTGTGTTAATGTCACAATAGAACCTTTTGTTGTGTGTGCCAGTGGAAAGATGGAAAAAAGAAAGGGAGGGAGGGAAGGAAGGAAGAAGGGGGGAGGAGGGAGAGAGGTAGGGAGAGAGAGAGAGGGAGAGAAGGGAAGGGACAGAGAAGGACCAGCAGAGTACACATGATGACCACATTTACTGCAAAATAAATCATCCAGAATTTACCACCTGGCCACTTCCCTTCATACCCAAGTTGTTGGCAGCCATGGAAGAACCATCCTGCAGTGGCAGAGGAGGGTTCTCCAGATTGTTTCTCATCTTTCTGGTTTTCACCCACAGTCCAAACCAAAGGACAGTGATAAAGAAGGAACATCAAATTCCACCTCGGAAGATGGGCCAGGGGACGGTTTCACCATCCTGTCTTCCAAAAGCCTCGTTCTGGGGCAGAAGGTAATAAACTCCAAAGCTGGGGTGTGGTAAGCCCCTCTATATACCCCACTGTTCCCAAGCCGCCATACCTCCTTCCTCCCTTCCACTCAGATATTGAATTATCCCATTTTAAAGGAAAATTCAGGTAATGTGTGCATTTCTAGAGCAAACTAGGCCTTTGGTGCTGAGAATGGCTTATGCTGGTCAACCTAAGGTCACCTAAAGTCATCCTAGAGAATCTGGTCAATAGGATGGCATTTTTGGTTCTGCTGGGAAATCCCCAAGCCCCAGTTATGTCTGCATCCACCAAGAAGAATCCATTGCTAACTCCCAGCCAGGATCGAAGAGGCCTAGCTTCCATGATTAAATGTCATTTAACAGAGGGAGAGAATAGCAATACATGTTTCTTGACTATGCCGGGTGCTAGAAATGAATTATTTGTCAATAAGTCAGTCTGCCTGCCTTCCTGAGCTGCAGAAGAAATAAAATAAAAACCTAACAGGATGGATTCCAGCAACATCTCAACATCCTGCCAGACATGCAAATAATTCATCTCTACTCGGGACAAGTTCACTGAGCAGACAGTTTATCTATCGAGTCAACCGGGCTGAAATAAGACACACCGGGAGGTAGCTGGTGAGTCAGCATGCCAGATATCTGGTTGCTGTCTGTGCTCAGCCTGCCAAACAAGTACATCTCCATCCAGAGAGCGGGGATCACAAGGTCTCTGGAGAGCAGAGATGTGGTGGGTTCCTTATTCATTTCTGGTACAATGAAAACTGAGATGCCTCCAGGCAGTGGTGGTGCACGCCTTTAATCCTAGCACTCAGGAGGCAGAGGCAGGTGGATATCTCTGAGTTCAAGGCCAGGCTGGACAGCTAGGGCTGTTCCACAGAGAAACCCTGTCTCAAAAAAACAAAGCAAAACAAAACAAAACAAAAAGAAGAAGAAAAGAAAAAGAAAAATGAAGGAAACTAAGATGCAAAGAGGTGGGATGAATGTCCTTTCCAGGCCCATGAACATTCCCCCAAATTTATCTAGAGAATGAGAAAGTTCCCGCTCATGTGAGGGAAACTGGGAAATGTTCTTCATCCTACTCTGCCAAAACCATGTCAGACAGCTCAAAGAATGTAGTACTCGGACTGAGGATGTAGCTCCAGGTAGAGTGCTCACCTGGCAGGCCCAAAGCCTTGAGTGCATCCATAGCACGGAAGGAGGACTGGGGAGGAGGAAGTTGTGGGAACAAGACCTCCCCAAATGTTCTGTACTATCTCAGGGGTGAGAAGAGATCAAGCCTCAGGCTGCTTTCCACACACAGCCACTGAGACAATGTGTCCATGGAGACCAAGGCCACCAGGGTTAGGAACGAAAGACACATAAACGATGAAGGAAAGAAAGAGGAAGGAAGGGAAGGTCCATTTCTGTTCCTGGTGGCGGAGGCTGGGTGTTTGCACTCTGCTAGTCTCAAGAACAACTGAACTCAGAGGGGTCTGCTCAAAAACAAACACCTGGAAGCCTGGCACAGCAGCTCAGGCCTATAATCCCCAGCATTAGGAGGAGGCAGAAGGAGTTGAAGGCAAGAATCAGCTGCGTAAGTGACCTCAAGACCAGCCTAAGCTACCTGAGGCCCTGTCTCAACACCAAAGAAATACCTGGGAATTTGAGTCCCCATGCTGAACCTCAACCCAAATAGCTGAGAAAAAATAATGCTGATGGTTAAATTAAAAGGATTTTCTGTGGGAGTTGATCTTGTCCCTATTCACTGTCTTTTCTCCCTAATGCAGCTATCCCTGACCCAAAGTGACATCAGCCATATTGGCTCCATGAGGGTAGAGGGCATTGTCCACCCCACCACAGCCGAAATCGACCTCAAGGAAGAGATAGGTAAGGCCTGGGGTTTAGAGAAGTATCATGGCATAGCCCACTGTCCAGTTCTCATGGACTTAGTCTTCTCCTGCCTGAGGTGCCATGTGGAAATGTCACTCTGTGGGATAAAATGGCCTCACTGGAGAGGAACAGGAAATGCTTTGATTCTACACTAATTTTGTCAAGCTTCTCTCAGGGTGCTATATTGAAACAGACCGTTTGTGTACAGCTTGATGACATTTTCTCCAAGTGACCCAGCTCAGCAGGTTTGAGTGCTCGCCTAGTGCCCACAAAGCCCTGGGCTCAACCCTCGGCATGCCATAAACTGGATGTTTCGTGTCACCTGAGTAACAGTGGCATTCCGAAGGTGGAGGCAGATGCATCAGAAATCCAAGATCGTCCTTGACCATGTAGGAGGTTTGAGGCTAGCCTAAGATACATGAGACCCTGTCTCAAAGCAAAGAGTGAAAACCGTTGTGCAGCCAGCAAGCACATTGGTGAGTGGTCCCTTTCGGCCCTGCCCCTTATCATGACTTCCTCTGGAGGAAATCAGTCTTCTAACAGCACAGAGGGGCTTGTTTCGATTTTATGTAAATGGCCCCATATGCTCTTCATGCCTGGCTCCCTTAGCTCAACACACGGTCTGCAAAATTCGTCCAAGCTACTGAGTGTGTTTGTTTATTTTCTTGGCTGTGTGGTATTTCATTGCATGAGTATGCCATAGTGAAGGTCATTTTCATTTGGGACCATCCTGAGTACTGACTGTTGCAATGAACATGGTTGCACAAGTATTGGATTCAACTTCACATGTGTTCTAAGTTTACATGTCGAGAATGCTGTTGGTGAAAAGGAAGGGGACAGGGACATGGGAACTTGGGGTGCACCACTGCAATTTCTGCACTCAGGAAGCAGGCAGGAAGGTTATGAGCTGCGTATGGAGACCCTATCTCAATTCTCCCCCACCTCCAGAAAAAGATAAAGGGCATTGTAGGAAGAACTAAGCAATCCAGAAGCCTGCGTTATTTTGCCAGCCCCATGAGTTGAAATGGAGGTTGTAGGCAGTGAAGTAAAGGGTCAGAGGGGGGGTGTGGGGGGAGGGGGAGCTGACAAACTGTCAAAGGCAAACATAATGGCCACTATCTGGTCCATTTGTTGCCATTTTGTCCGTTTTCACAATACAAAACTATTTTAAGCCTTCCATTGAAAGGGTAAATGGAGGGGCTGGAGAGATGGGTCAGTGGTCCTGAGTTCAATTCCTGGCAACCACATGGTGGCTCACAACCATCTGTAATGAGATCTGGTACCCTCTTCTGGCTTGTGGGCATACATACAGACATAACACTGTATACATAATAAATAAATATTCAAGAAAGAAAGAAAAAGAAAGATCACAAGAGAGAGAGAGAGAGAGAGAGAGAGAGAGAGAGAGAGAGGGTAAATGGAGTGAAGAAAAGGCCTCAACCCTGGGATCCAGGGCTGGCCCTGGGCTGAGTAGTTTGAAGCTAGGGCTAGCAGTTCCTCCCTGTGTGGTGGCCCCAAACTGCTGGGCTCATTATTTCTCTGGCACCAGAGGCCATTTGCTATGCTGGAAAGTCGGTGGGGTGGCCCTGGGCAATAACTGAACTGCAAAAGCAGTTTTGTTTCTTGCTGAGTTACAGACCAGACCCTGACATTGCCTCTTTCCGGAGGCAGGGGAAGGCTCTCCCCACTGTGGAAGGACTCCCCCTAGTGGCCAAATCTCCAGCTCTGTTTTACTTGCAAACAAAGCAAGTTCCTGTTTCAGACATCCTCGTAGTTCTGCATCCTTTTGTCCAAAACATCAAAAGAGATGCTTCTGTGTTTTGAAGTGGGGTGGTGTGGAGTGAAGCACACAGTTGTGTAAGTGAAAAGTCAAGTTTGGACCCTGCTGGTGGACCCCGTGGCTGACCTCTTGGCAGTCAGGGGAGGTGAGATGGGCTGAGAGGCAGGCAGATAGGCAAGAGAGCAACCTGAGTCGCCTTGGTCTCTCTCCAGACTCTAACAGGTCACTTCTAGCTGTGTGACTTTGGGTATGTTTCCTAACCTCCCTGAACCTCACTTTCCACACCCGTAAGTGAGGATACAGGTGGTCTAAAGACCAGATGGCACAGGGCTGGATGCAACACCAGCTCACCCCAACTCCCTGACTGACAGGTCTTCACTGTTGCTGCATCACTGGGAGACACGCCATCACGAGTCCATCCTGTACCACCAGCACCCAAGCCAGTCATCCTGTCCAAGCCCAGGCCCTGATTTACTTATTTTTTAAATCTTGTGCTAGGGGATCCAAGTGTAGCTTGGGGATAGAACCTGTGCTCCATAGGCACAAAGTCCTGGAGTCAATCTGCAGCACAAAAACTAAAAGGTAAAGATACTCACTGCCAAGCCTAATGGTCCAGGTTTGATCCCTGGGACCCACGTGGTAGAAGGAGAAACCTAACTCGCCCAAGTTGTCCTTTGTCTTATACACACATGTGCTCGCACACACACACACACACACACACACACACACAGTGAAAGGGGAGGGGGAGAAAAGCAAGTCTTAACCCATGGCCTCTCCCACTCTTCTTTGAGGTTTAATCTGCTGAGAAGCCAGACCAATTTTTCCCAGTTTGGGTTTTGTTGCTTGCAGTATCACTAAACGTGTTTCTACCTGCTTATCTGTTTAAATCGATGGTAGATCTAGAGACTTCAAGGCATTCAGGCTCAAGAAATAGGGTCTAAGGCAAAGGTTCCCATCCTGTGGGTAGAGACCCTTTTAGGGGCAGTATGAGCCTTTCACAGGAGTGTAGACGGAAGTTTCTGCCCCACCCAGTCCCGCAGCTATTTAGTCCCAAATAAACGCACAAAGGCACATATTAATTATAAACTGTTTGGCCAATGACTTAGGCTTCTTACTGGCTAGCTCTCTCTCTTAATTACTAATCCATGACTATTAATCTGTATATCCCCACATGGCCTTATCTTACCAGAGAATGTCCAGGCATCCTACCTTCCCAGTAGCTACATGGCATCTCTCTTGAGATTCTCTGTGTTCCTCTTCCCATCATTCTCCTTGTCTGGTAGCCCCACCTATACTTCCTTCCAGGGAAACAAATGGGACGTGACATCCCTAATTTTTAAGGTTTTCCTGACCTATCCAACAATATGACTCTATTGAAAGGTCGTTCACCACAACCCCCATTGTTCTTCTTTGTAGGTAAAGCCTTGGAAAAGGCTGGGGGTAAAGAGTTCTTGGAAACAGTAAAAGAGCTTCGCAAATCCCAAGGCCCTTTGGAAGTTGCTGAAGGTAAGTATGAGACTGGGCTGCATCCCAGCCTGGCTCAACCCCACCCTTGCAGTCTCCAGCCTTCCACATCCATACATGGTCACGGTATAAAACAAGATATGATGTCCCTAAAACCCCTGAGCTAAAAGCCAGGCACATTTGTTGTCATAGACCTGTTACTCCAAAGGTGGGGAGGTAGAGACAGGAGGATCCTTGAGGTTCATTGGCCTACTTGGTGAGGGCTAGGCCAGTGAGAGTCCATCTCACAGGAGGTGGACAGTCACCCTGAGGATGACACCAAGACTTCCCTCTAGCCTACACACACACACACACACACACACACACACACACACACACACAATGATGGTCTGAAAGAAAATAGGGAGTGGCACTATTAGGAGTTGTGGCTTTGTTGGAGTGGGTATGGCCTTCTTGGAGAAAGTGTGTTACTGTAGAGGCAGGCTTTGAAGTCTCATATATGTTCACACCTAGCATCTCAGTCTACTTCCTGTTGCTTTCTGAGCAAGATGGAATCAAGAGGAATCCTTAAAGCTGCCCATGAGGAGAGATGGGCAGGCCATCTATAAGGAAATTGTAGTTTGAGCTGATGAGATAGCTGAGCCAGTGACAGTTCTCACCATGGGCTTAAAAACCTGAGTTCAGCTCCTGGGACTCTCTCAGTAGAAGTACTGGCTCCCTGAGTTGTCCTCTGATGCATGTGTACTGTGACCTGCATGCATTAGTGTGTGTGTGTGTCTGTGTGTGTGTGCACACACACACACACACGTGCGTGCGCACACAAATATGACCCCCCTATGGGGACATTCTCATTCAAACCACCACAGATATGATGAGGGAAAAAATGCCTAGTGAATATGAGCTACAAGCCAGTGCTTCTGAAGTTGGGCAGCCCAGCACTGCCTAAATCCTCACTCATGGGACCTGACTTCGATAGATGAAGGACATGCATTTTATTTCTACAAGAGCTTAGGTCTCCTGCAGGCTGACAGCAGTCATGAGATGCATGCCTTTTCAAAGATACTAAAATGTGAAAAATACTTACCTCTTAGAATTGGTAAAAGGAACCATTACAGCCCAGGCCCTTACACAGCTGCCCTTGCCAGATCTGCTGGGAGCCCATGTGCCTCCATGCAGGCTCTCCAGTCCATGCCGAGCCTCTGCCATATGTGCTGTGCTGTGGATGTCAGTGTGGCCCTGAATGAAGAGATTTATAACCAATCGAGGGACCCAGGGTCACACAGTGCATCTCTTAACCAGGCTGCCCAGTTGCTGGTAGAGACTCAGAAAAAGATGGGCAAAGAAGCTGGGGAGTGAAGGACACAACTAAGCATGGGGACAAAAGAGTCGCCCCTGATGATTGATGGCCACAGGGACTTCCTTCAAACTCCTCAGTAGCCTTGGTTCTTGCCAGACCTGTCACTGACAGGAACCATGTTTAGGAGAATAAAAAGTTCTTTTAAAAGAAAGGAAAAGAGAGTGAGGGAGTGTGGTAGTTTGAATGTAATTGGCCCCCCACAAGCTCATGGGGTGTGCCACTGTTAGGAGGTGTGGTTTTGTTGGAGAAGGTATGACCTTGTTGAAGGAAGTGTATAATTGTGAGGGTGGGCTTTGAGAGCTCATATATACTCAAGCCACGCCCAGTGTCTCAGACCACTTCCTGTTGCCCTCGGGATCGAGATGTAGCTCCTTCTCCAGCACCATGTCTGCCTGCATGCTGCCATATCCTGCCAGGATGATAACGGACTGAACTTATAAAACTGTAAGACACCCAATTAAATGTTTTCCTTTATAAAAGTTGCCATGGTTATGGTGTCTCTTCACAGCAATAGTAACCCTAAAACAGGGAGGGAATGAAGGAGGGAGGGAGAGAGGGAGGAAAGGAAGGAAGGAAGGAAGGAAGAAAAGAAGGAAGGAAGGAAGGAAGGAAAGAAGGAAGGACCTAGAGAGGTGGCTCAGAGGTTAAGAGCACTGGCTGCTCTTGCAGAAGACACAGGCTCAATTCCCAGCCCCCATATGGCAGCTTACAACTATCTGTAACTCCAGATCCAAGGGATCTGATGCCATCTTCTAGCCTCTTAAGGCAATGCAGACATAGATGTAGGCAAAACACCCATACACATAAAAATAAACTTAAAAAAAAAAAAAAAGAAAAGAGGAAGGAGGGACTAAAGAGATGTCTCTGCTGCAGTTAAGAGTGACTGCTCTTCCAGAAGACCTGGGTTCAGTTCCCCACATCCACATGGTGGCTCACAGCCATATTTAACTCCAGTCCCAGAGGATTTGCCCTTTTCTGGTCTCCTTGAGCACGGCATGCATGGCAGGCAAAATACCCATACCTAAAAAATCATTTTATTTAATTAAACCTTGCCAGGTGGCGGTAATACACACCTTTAATCCCAGCACTTGGGCAGCAGAGGTGGGTGCATCTCTGAGTTCTAGGACAGCCTGGCCTACAGAGCAAGTTCTAGGTCAGCACCAGGGCTGCTACACAGAGGAACCCTGTCTTGAAAAACTAAAATAATAGAATAAAAACTAGGCGCTGTGGCACACACCTTTAATCCTGGTTTCCAATGGAAAGGCTGGGGACATCCTTCCCCAAAACTGACCAGTGTGGCAACCCTGACAGTCCATCACCAGTGTCCTTAATTACAGTCACAAAGTGTTCTTGGCCATGTCAGGGAACAGTTAGCCCGGGGATTCGCACTTTTGGGGATGGTCATTACTTGACTTCCTACAGCACCAGATGTTATTTTGGTATGTTCCTGTCACTAGGATCCACTGAGGCGGTTCCTGACCTGGGGCATGTTGGCAGGTCACCAACAGTGATAAACTGTCACATCAACACCCAGACTTCCGTTTCTCACACAGTGACAGGGATGAATGTGTCTAGCTACCTGCCCCTTCGCTCCCTCATCACCTGTGAGGCCCATTATCATCACCCAGCTTAAGGTGAGACTCAGGAAATCACCTACTGTTTTTCTCTCCTGCGTCCCAGCCGCCGTCAGCCAATCCAGTGGACTCGCAGCCAAATTTGTCATCCACTGTCACATTCTCCAGTGGGGCTCCGACAAATGTGAAGAACAGCTGGAAGAGACCATCAAAAACTGCCTGTCTGCAGCTGAGGACAAGAAGCTTAAGTCCGTCGCCTTCCCACCTTTCCCCAGTGGCAGGTAGGACACAATTTCTGAGCTGATGTCCCCAGCCTTTCCATTGGGAACCAGCTACACACCAACATGTCCACTTTGCATCGGCCCATGCCAGGAGACACAGATAGGGTCCGCCAGCACAGGCAATATGTGTTAGGTAGGCAACAGGGTAAGAAACCCAATTTCCCATCTTCCAAACACAGACAAGCCCCTGGCCTGGGATGGCAAGTCTCCCTGGCCTGGAGCCAGTTTCCTGCCTTGTGGATATCAATGCCCAGAACAGAAAGACAACATGGATGGGGCCAGGTAGCATTTTAGTTTTGTGTATGCTTGTGGATGCACATGTATGTCATATGCGTACTATGCTTGTGTGTGTGTGTGTGTGTGTGTGTGTGTGTGTGTGTAGACCAGTGTCATTCCTCAGGTAACTAATACTCTCTTGTTGCTGTGATAAAACATTTTGTCCTTTAAAAAAAAAAAAATGTGTCCTAAAGTAACTTAGAGGAGCAAAGGGATTATGTGGCTTAACATCCAGGTCACAGTCCAACACTGAAGGAAGTCAGGAATTAAAGGCAGGAGTTTGATAAAGAAACTGTGAGTGACTGCTGCTTGCTGGCTCATACTTAGATAGCTTCTTTTTTTTAAAGATTTATTTACTATGTATACAGTGTTCTGCCTGCATGTCTGCCTGCATGTCTGCCTACATGCTAGAAGAGGGCACCAGATCTCATTACAGATGGTTGCAAGGTGACATGTGGTTGCTGGGAATTGAACTCAGGACCTCTGGAAGAGCAGCCAGTGCTCTTAACCACTGAGCCCTAGATAGCTTTTTTTATATATACAACCCAAGATCATCAGCTCAGGGGTGGTGATGTCCACAGTAGGCTGGGCCCTTCCATATCAATCCTCAATCAAGACAACCGCCACGCCCCCCACCATCCCCATCCCACCCCCCACCCCCAGACATTGCCACAGGCCAGTCTGATCTGGGAAATTCCTCAGTTGAGGTTTCTCCTCTCAGATGACTCTAAACTGCCCATCTTGTTTTTGTTTGAGAAAGAGCCTTACTGTGTCATCTTGGCTGGCCTGGAACTCACTATGTAAATTAGGTTAGTCTAAAACTCAGAGAGATCTGCCTGCCTCTGTCTTCTGAGTACTAAGATTAATGATGTATACTACCACACTCCTGCACCTTGGATTTTTGTTGCTATTGTTTTGGTTTGGGGATTTTGTTTGTTCGTTTGAGCTAGGGTCTGGCCTGGAGGTTAGTGGCCCATGTCTTTAGACTAGGGAGGCAGAAGCAGTCAGATCAGATGCATTGAGTTCCAGGACAGCAAGGATCACACAGAGAAACACTGTTTTGAGTCTTGGGGGAATAAAAGGGGAGAGAGAGATAGTCTTACTGTGTAGCCTTGACTGGCCTAGAACTCATTATGTAGACTGGGTTAGCCTTGAACTCACAGAAATCTGCCTGCCTCTCCATAAAGGTATGTGCTGCCATGCTGGGCCTACGACCTTCTCATTGTTTTGGTTTTTCGAGATAGGGTTTCTCTGTATTGCTTTGGAGCCTGTCCTGGAACTTGCTGTGTAGACCAGGTTGACCTTGAACTCACAGAGATCCACCTGCCTCTGCCTCTCGAATGCTGGGATTAAAGGTGTGTGCTACCAACACTGGGCCTACCACCTTCTTTTTTTGAAAGTCTCTCATTGGTTTTGATCTAACCAATCAGGTTAGGCTGACTGGTCAGCAAGTCTCAGGGATCTACCTTACCTGCCTTTGGGGTTTCAGATGTTATCACCATGGCCAGCCTTGTTATATTTGTTCTAAGAAACTCAGGTCTACATGCTTGTGTGGCAAGCACTTTCCCCACCAAGCCATCCTCACAGTGTGCCCCATATTTGTTTTTAAAAGCCTGCTATGTTTAAAACCCACATCCCCACCCTTGGTCCTCATCTAGAACACACAATCTGAAAACCCCAGACTCACAGGCCTTGCTGTTATACATGTGGTCTGTAATACATCAGTGGCCATAAATCCAGCCCCTGGACTGCACCCCAGACCTGCTTCCAGATCCGCAGGGGATGCTCCAGGGGACAGTGGAAGGGAACTCAGCTAAGGCTTTGATAACTGTATTGGAGCAGTGGAGGCCTCTCACTGCAGCTTGTTGGGAAAAGGCTGGGCTCTGAGACACAGGAAAGGTGAAGACAAACCAATGAGTACCATGGGATGTATTCTCCATGATCAGACCATGGGTGCTATGTTCCATGCAGAGACACTCGAGAATTCAGGAAGCAGGCATATGCTGGACTCTTGGACCTACTCCAGGAGTCTCAGTAGCTGACCCCAAATGGCCATGGTGGCTGTGTCAGACTGGTTTGAAGGAGCTAAAACAACAAAAACATGTTTGCTTTTTGAAGACATGGTCTTATAAATGTGGAACCGATAGAGTTTACAAAGTCAAGTTCCTTGAGCCAGATGACACAGATTCAAAATTAGGACATACTTTATGCACCAGCCCTGTGACCTTGGCTGCAGTCATCATATCTGAGACAGCGTGGTAACTATGTAGCAGGGGCATCACCTACCCATGTCTTACCCTTGACTAATGCCAGAGCAGGTGATTTGTGGACTGGCCTGTGCATGCTGAGTCCCACACTGTACACACAAAGGCCAGGGCCAGAATAAGAAGATGCTGTTAGCAGGGTGTGGTGGCACATGCTTTTAATTCGTGCATTCTGGAAGGCAGAAGGAGGCAGATCTCTGAGTTCATGGCCAGCCTAGTCTTCACAGTGAGTTCTAGGCTACCCAGGGCTACATAGTGAGACCTGTCACACAAAAACAAAAAGGAACCAATGTCCCTTTCCCCAGGCTAAGACAGTATTACAGCAGTGGGTACAGGGACCAAAATGACACAGGCTCTTCTTTTGTTTGGGAATAGAAACTGCTTTCCTAAACAGACAGCCGCCCAGGTGACCCTCAAGGCCATATCGGCCCATTTCGACGACTCGAGCGCATCCTCACTGAAGAATGTGTACTTCCTGCTCTTTGACAGCGAGAGCATCGGTATCTACGTACAGGAGATGGCCAAACTGGACACCAAGTAGCTCTCCAGTGGGGACGGAGGAGAATCAATGTCACATCACAAGAGCAGGGGGTTTTATTTTTCAAAAGGATTGAGGAACGGTGACATGGCAGGGGAGCAGAGGGTGGCTAAGGGTAGCAAAGGCAGTGGGAACAGGTCCTGCCTGCCTGGAGAAGGGGCCCAGTGCATTTTATATTCTCTTTACAAAGGGCCTCTTCCGAAATTAACCAGGTCTCCACCAGGGGTTTCTTTCCATGTGTTTTCTTCCTGTTGTTTTAGAACTTTTTTTAAAAAAACAAACAAACATAAAAATAGACCTTGTTTAGATTTATAGCATTGACTTTTACACACTGTCTCAATATCTCCCCCCCTCTCTCTCTCTCTCTCTCTCTCTCTCACACACACACACACACACACACACACACACAAGTCTTTTCAAAGTGCTGAAGTCTTTGGTTTCCAAGTTAAGAGGGTGAGACAGCCACTTGGGTGAATTGGCTGCCTCCCTCAGGGGAGAGAAGATGGGAAAGACGTCCTAGGGTGCTTTTCTCTTCTGTTATAGGGTCCCCTCCCTGACCCCTAAAATATTTGTAACTACACCTAAAAGGGTTTTACCTTGGGATTTTTGTTTGTTCAGTTTTGTTTTTTAAAGAAAAAGAAAAAAATGAAAAGAAAAAATAAAAGATCCAGTGTCTTTCTTATAACATATCCCTTTATTGCAATATTTCCTCCTCTCGGAAAACTGTCTCCACTGGTGTGAAGAAATCACACAAGGCCTGTCACTGAAGAGTCCCACCATGCTCCCTAAAGCTCCTGGTCAGCCAGCATCATGGCAGGCTTTCTGCAGGTGGTTGGTCCTGCCTCCAGAGAGGGTGAGCCTGCTGGCTAGCATCCACAACAGCAGAGCAGGTCACAAAACTGCCAGTGGGTCATCAGTCCCTGGAGAGAGACTCAAGTCTCAAGTCCGGCCTGTGCAACTAAACAGAACAGACCTTAGCCACAGCCCAAATAGAGATGGATGGGCATCAGGAAGGCTGCTCAAGGACTCTGTCACCCATAACCAGAGGCCAAGGCCAGACGCAAGCAGAAAGAGGCAGGGGGAGAGAGTGATGAGCTCTTCCCTGCTGGAGCTCACTTGGAGAGAGAAGTCATTCGTGTACCTTAGCAGACTGTAGTAGGCATGATAATAGCCAGTGAGGGCCCAAGTGACAGGAGCTGGCTAGGAAATCAGCAGCATAGTCCCCTACCCCCATGTCCCAGCAGCAGCCTGTGATGATAACCTGGAAATCAGATCATCCACGGATGTCAGTCTGGTCTCTGAAGATCAAGCAGCCAGTACCTGCCCGCCCCGAGTCACAGGTCTCCTTCCTGGGATTCCCACAGCAGTACCAAGTCAGGCTTCCGCCTTAGCCCTCCAGCCTTATAAGACTCACCCTGCCAGGATGCTGTTTGGTGAGTGTCCTCAGAGCCAAGCAACCACCATCTTGGGGGAGGGGGAATCAGCTTCTCCCTTGCCCCCCCCCCTTTTTTTTTGGAGACAGGGTTTCTCTGTATTGCTTTGGAGCCTGTCCTGGAACTCACTCTGTAGGCCTTAATTGCCTGTGGCCTCCAGGAGGTGCTAGAGCATATAGGCCAGGAAAGGCTAGGAGAGGGGGCTCTGTTTATGCTGCCCCATAGCTAATGAAGCCCTCATCCCTGCTGGTTAAAGTTTTCCAGGTTGGACCTGTTGTGGGGAGAAGTACTCACACCCCTCAGATACTATGTAAGGAACACCAAAAAACTCATTGGTTCCCCCAGAGTAAAGTTTGACAGACTCGTGCCTCGGTTTGCTATTGGGACCTTAGGAGAAGAGGACCGACGTTGCTTATATCTCCCCACTGGGAAGAGGTTTCAGCATCAGATGGGCTAGCCAGAGGGGAATTTTGCCTGACTCCATGTGAATACACCTATGACCTACAGTGAGATGCATATGGAGATAAGGGTACATGAAGGTTAAAGAGGGTCCCAAGGAACTGAGGCAGGGGTATTACTTGACCTCAGGACTTCAAGGCCAATCTGAATAATGTAGATAAGCACTGGAGGGGGGTGGGAGAGTTGGTCGGGAGAAGGGAGACTGCAACGTGCAGACACTAAGTTTGGGAGAATAAAATGAGGCCCCTATTAATAACCTACTTAATGTGGGATACACAAGCTTCCCCACCCCAAGTGAGGAGAGACTCAAAGTTTAGGTTGTTTCCCCCACCCCAGCACCCTTTCTTTAGCTGTCTTGTGCTGTGGCTCTACTTACTATACTACAGACAGGACGCCACCTAGAGGAGCCCAGCTCTGCCCAACAGGGGCTCTGCGCACTACTTACAAAGCCCTGTGCATTCCTGCACACACACAGACAGACAGAAGCCTACTGTACAGAGAGCCACCTCTGCTGCCCCTTGAGCTGGCGCAGCTACAAGCAGACCTTCCAAATCCAGAGCGAATCTTCTAGGGCTTTTTTTTTTCTTTTTCTTTTTTAATGTCCCCCCTCTTTACTCTCTGTCTCTCATTTTGGCTTTACACAAGTTGTATTTCCAGCCAGCCCACGACTGACACCATGATCCAGACAAAGAGCTTCTGCCCTTGGCACCTGTCAGGAGGGTGTCCTTTGTCAAGCAGTCTGTCACCCCTCCAAGCGGTACCGAGACTCCCTCGCAGCCTCCCTGTCATGGTGGAGACTGCCGCATGGTTTTCCAGCTTGTGGAGACGAAGAGGTCCCTGCTCTTGGCCAGCCGCACCATGAGGCGGCCTACATAGAAGCCACTTATCTGGCCCACGCCATCATTTCTGCCCATGGACAGGAGGAAGGTCAGTGCACCTGAGAGATGGACACACAAAGCAAGGAGATGCCTGAGGGATGCCTTCAGAGTTCACAGGCAACTGTGCATGCCCTTTAAGAAAGCAAGTTGGGGCTGGTGTGTGTGTGCGCGCATGCACATGCGTGTGTGCCTATGTGTGCATGTGTGTGGTACATGTTGAGACCAGAGGACAACCTGGACTGTCATTCTTCAGGTAGCATTTACCTTTTTTTTTTTTTTTTTTTTTTTTTAAGACTGGATCTTTTACTGACCATGAGGTCCATGTTTTTTTTTTAATTGTTGTTTTGTTTTTGCTTTTATTTTTTGAATATGTGTTCTAGGCACCAAACTAGGGTCCTCCTTCGATTTACTGACTGAGTGGTTTACTGACTGAGCCATCTCCCCAGCCTCTGTTGCTAGCAATGCTGGAGATGAACCCTCAGTGTGCCAGGCAAGAATTCTACCACTGAGCTACAGCCCCAGACACATTTGCTTTTAAAGAGACTGTGCTGTGACCTGCAGCCTACTGGTCATTTACCTCACAGCCCCCAAAACCTTCCACACATCTGACCCCAAACTTAACGACTGTAAAGTGCCCAAGCTTTCTTACCTGGCTTGTAGGCTTTGAGGGGCCTCTGCTTCATGGAGTTGACAATGTTGGCCACAACAATGTTAGCATGCAGACCAGCATGATAGGCCATCTTGGGCTCCTTGATATCGGCACAGTCACCGATGGCATAAATATTGCTGTAACCTTCGACCTGGAGGAACTCATTCACTTTCAGAGCACCATTGCTGGCCAGTCTATTCTCTGCTGGGCGAGACGACACCAAAACAGCCCCTGAATAGCCATGCTAAGTAGCCTCCAGAACAGCGGGATGAGTCCTGGGTGTGGGTCTAGTCACTTGAGAGATGTGTGCTGAGAAGTGACACCCTCACCTGCTGTCATCCTGCTGGAAGTCCCATCCAAGACCCTTCCTACCAAGGCAAGCCCCAGGCAGAGCAAGAGGCAAGAACAGGAAGAGGCAAAGCTCTGGGAAGCCTCCTCAGACAAAACACAGACAGCCCTTCCCAAGTCCCCTGGCTTTTTAAGTCTTTGACTGCCTTTGGAACACACATCAGAATTTTAAAATAGATTCAGGCATGTCCTAAATAATAACAGCTTCCTTAAGGACTTGAAAGAACGTATCTTTGAAAACATATTAGAACAGTGAGATGTTAAAACTGCGGGTGCTCTGCCCACTACCGCTGTGGACTGCCTTCCTTCTAGACTGAAAACTAAATTCCTGCTGGATTTGGCAGAGACTGGTCAGGGAAGGGTGCTCAGGGTGCTCAGCGTGAGTGACAGGTCCCTGGGGATGCAGAGCAACCATGGGGCGTGGCCCCTGAGTCTCACTCTCAGCACGCATCAGTCCACTGTCTGTCCCCGGTACCTGAGAACTGAGCTGTAAGAAATAAGGCCGTGCTACAGTCCCCACATCCCGCAAATGGAGGTTTGGAAATGAAGTAGCCAGATGCTTGGGACCTGGAGTTGGAGACAGCACACCTGTGGATGGGGAAAGGCCGGCCTGGGCCTTCCTCATGGAAAGCAGCAGGACAAGAAGCCGCTCTCACCTCTCTGGAGCCTGTTCCCATCTCTCGCCACTAGGGGGAGAGCCCTAACCTTGGAAGATTATGGCCTCCAAGCTGAGCAGGTGAGGCCTCTCACCTGAATTTAAAGGTCAAGATCTAATGAGCTGATGAGATAAGAGGAGGAGACAGAGAGTGCCGGTTCAGGTGGCAAGGGCTGTGGGGTGTCTCTGAAAGCCAGAGAGAGAGGAGGCAGCTTGGGGAGCAACTACTGTTGGACGCCCACTCACCGAACGCACTGGAGTAGGCAGAGCTGTTGATCTTGATCCCGTTGCACACAATCACCAGGTTGGTGGCCACCTCTGTGCCCTTGTCCGTCTGCACCTTGATGTACTCCCGGTACTCATTGAGAGGTAGTTCCTCCAGGTTGCTCACCCGCTCACCTGTGGAAGGTTCCGTGACAGGAAGCTGGTAGAGGTCGAGCACACACCAAGGCAGGCCACGGGGAAAGTTATTGCTCCCCTTGTGACTCCCCCCACAGTCCACTCTCCTGTCCCATCCCCGAGCAGCAGAATGTATGTGGACATCTGTCCCCAGGGGATCCATCTGGAGGAAAGTTCCAGGAAGCTGCTGAAGGGAAGTGAAGCCAAGCTTCCCAAATTCTAGGAAACATTACTCAACAGAGGGCCCCTTCCTTCTCTGAATGGGAGCTTGCCTGTCCTGTCTACACAGAAGGCCCCCAGTATAGCATAGACCAGCAAACCAGAAAGCAGAGAAAGCCTTCAGCTGGTAGGGTACTTCGAGACTTGCAGAAAGCCCTGTGTTCTATACCCAGCACTGCAAAAACTAAGGGTGGTGTGTATGCTGGTGCTGCACCAGCATACAGAATGGAGGCAGGAGGATTACTAGTTCAGAGTCCTCCTTGGTGACAGCGTTTAAGGTCAGCCTGGTCTACATGAGATATTCTCCATCTCGAAAATTAAAAAAAAAAAAAATGAAGGGGCTGGAGAGAGGGCTCAGTGGTTAAGAGCAATGGCTGCTCCTCCGGGGAGACCCAGATTTGGTTTCTAGCATCCAAAGAGAGGCTAAAAACCATCTGTAACTCCAGTTCAAGGGGCTCTAATGTCCTTTCCGGGCCTCCACAGGCACTGGACACATACATGGTACATAGACATGAACACAGGCAAAACATCCACACACATAAAAATAATTTTAAGGGACAGATAGGGGGGTGACAAAAGGCAGAAAGTGAGGGAACCTGTCTGAATGCAAAGTGCTTCCAGGCCTCCATGACCAGTTGCCAAAGGAGGCTGTGACAGCTGAGAGGGGATTCCACAACAACCGCCACACACCCTTCTGCACAGAACATGGAGGTGACACCCAGGTGTCGTCCCACTCCAAAAACTGGGATCTTCTCTCCCTTCCTGCTCTGAACAACAACAACAACAACAAAGCCACACTCAAAAGAAGGCGGTGGTGGCATAGGCCTTTAGTCCCAGCACTCACAAAGCAGGGGCAAATGGAGTACTGGGAGGCAGAGTGAGTTCCAGGACTACAAGGAAACTCACGGGAGAGTTGGGGGGGGGGTTAGGGAGAGTCAAATTACACGCCTGCCTGTTCCCTCTTCCACAGAGACAGCAAGACATTGAAAATCAAAATGTGGGGTGGATCTGTCTTTACTAAGCTACAGCCAGGGACTGCTAGCCCTGTGACTTTGACCGGCTGGACACAGTTCAAGCAAGCTCCGATGCTTGAGACTTCCTGATGCTTTCCTGATACAGTGGGAAAGAGGGAGCCTGAGTGGATGTGTTGCCCCTTCCGCCCCTGCCACCCTCACAGCCCTACCACCCCCACTGCCCCTACCATGGCCACGGCTGGGCCATGGGCAGTACATCAGCAGGTAGGGGCTGGGCAGGAGGGGTTTGCCACACGTACTCAATAACAGCTGCACACCCTTCCGGAGAAGGATCTCCTTGACTTCCTGCCGCACACAGGGCAGGAGCTCCTTGTCGGCCAGGGGTACTTTGGAGTGGATAAGAGTGACCTAAAACAAAAACAAACACACAAACACCACAGGGCTTGAGAGGGAAGCCCCAAATCTCCTCCCCTACCTCCCTTGCCATACTGAGGAGACTGAGCATCAGAGTCAGACGCTACCCAGTGTTCTGGGATCCAGTCCACCGCTCAGTCCTCAGTGCCCCTAAACCGGAGGACTACCCATGTGCCACTGTCCAAACCCACACCTCACCTAAGGCAAATGGACAGTTACATACAAATGCAATTGTATGGTCAGTGTATAAGCTGCTAGCATTCCAGCCTGATACCAGGCTGATAGCAACAATCAGGATAGTTCTAAAGTTAGCCTCACAGACATGTCCACTTGCTGTCTCAGCATGAAGACATGAAGGCATATTGTGACCACTGTCCGGGTCAGACTTTGAAATCAGGCTGCCTGTCTGTCCTGGTGGCACAGGCCTGGAATCTCAACTACTATGGAGGCTGAGGTAGGAGGATCTCAGGTTCTAGGCCAGGCTGAGCTACAGAGTGAATTCTAGACCAACTGGCACCTGAGTCAGTTGTCTCAAAAGTAAAAAGAGGCTGGACAATGGTGGCCCACACCTTTAATCCCAGCACTAAGGAGGCAAAAGCAGGCAGATCTCTGAGTTCGAGGCCAGCCTGGTTTACAGAGTAAGTTCTAGGACAGCCAGGGCTACACAGAGAAACCCTGTCTTGAAAACAACAACAACAACAAAAAAAAAAAACATGTAAAAAGAGGACTGGAGACATAGCTTATGGGCAGAATGCTTGCCTAACACGTACAAAGTCTTAAAAGGAAGAGTGAAGACGAGAGAGAGGAGAGGAGGAAAAGACGGGAGGGAAGGGGAAAGCACAGAAGTGGGGAAGTGGGTAACTGGACTGGGTTGAAATCCCATCTCTGCTCCTTGGATCAGACATCTCCCTGAGACTCACCAGAATTCAACCGTCCCACTGTGTAATGGTGGACAAGAAAATATGTTAAAGGAGGACTGGTAAAATGGTTCACAAACACATCATTCAATCTGATGGGACAATGCCACCAGACTCAAACCATGATGGGAGCTTCCAGCCCCTGCCCCAATCCCCGAGGAAGATTGAGTTCCACAGTCTATCATGTCTAAATGGTGAAGCCTAAAAAAAAAAAAAAAAAAGAAAGAAAAAAAAGACAACCCTGCAGGACTGAGAGAGCCTCCACCTGCATGAACATGGCCAGGTGGCACACCCCAACTCCAGTGAGAAAGAAGTCCCTGTGCTTAGGCTCTCTTTGTCTGACTGTTCATATATGTCCTTTAAAGGCTTATTTTATTAGGTTTTTAGTTACATGTATATGTGTCTGTATGTGCATATGTGCACACGAGTGCAGTGCCTATCGAGTCCAGAAGAGGGTGTTAGATTCCCCTGGAGCTGGAGTTACAGGCCATTGAGCTCCACATATGGGTACTGAGAACCAAATCTGGGTCCTCTGCAAGAGCAGTATGAGATCTTAACCACTGAGCCATCTCTCCAGCCCCATCTGTGTCCTTTAGAGCATCCTTTGTGATAGGTTAAGTCAGCAATGGCAAGCAAACTGCATCTCTGGGGTCTATATGCCGCTCTGGCCACTATAAAGCCCGATGGGAGGAACTTTCCATTTATAGCTGGGGTCAGAAGTGTTATTTAACCAGGGCCTTACTACTCCACTGTCTTCTGAGGTGGGAGCAGCTTTATGGGGCTGAGCCCTTGGTCTATGGTGTATGTGCTAATTCCAGGCAGCTTTGGAGTTGAGCTGCATCATGGGACACCCCACTGGTGCCAGTAAGATCAGTCAGTGTTGGGAGAGACCCACTCTTCTCATCCCAGAAGCACCGAGAACAAGCAGTGGATGATGGGCTTTCCCTATGTAACACTCATGAATCAAAATGAATACTTTAACTACATCCATCAGTCACCATAACTTCCAACCATTTGTCAGAGAGTAAGCATATAATTAAATTATGCCAGATTGATTTTCCTTGTTGAAGTCAACCATCTCTCCCCGGGGAGATAAGTGTTTGTTCACAGGCTCTTTGTGGCTTGAAGAGGCTGACTCACATGAGTCAAGGCTGACCCGCATGAGGTACCAGGAAGCCAGGGACTGCAGAACCCATCACTACGACTGTCACTCAGCTCAGTACTCCAGGAGCTTAGACCCTCCTCTCTTTTTAAGGTCCCAGCCAGGTTCCTATCTCTCCGGAGTTAGAAAAGTCAGGGCAGGCTGTTGCGACCCTTCCATGGGGAGAGGGAACTGAAGATCAGCTCCCTCCCTGCCCCCAGTGTGGACCGTTCTCTCAATGCCATGGGCATGGACTTCCACGTGGCTATCCAGGGCAAGGGCTGCCAATCAAACATACCAAGAAACTTCACAGCAAAGAGATTATCGAAGAACATCCAGGCCTCATCCCAAAGGCCCTATCTCTGAAGGAACAACATGGGAGGTTGGGTTTATGAGACAGCTCCCTGGTCCTCCTCTCCGCACATTCAGAGCTCCATACAGCCAAGAGCCTAAGTGGGAGGCACTACTCACTGTGTGGAATTGCTTTTAGTACAAGATGGAAAACACTCTTCTTATGTAAGTGGGGCTCTAGCCTCCCAAAACCTGAGCACAGTCCCGATTTTGCTGGGGTGGCAAGATGGGTAAAGGTCAAAGGCGCTTGCCCCTGAGCATGATGACATGAGTTCAAAACCCAGGGTATGTAAGGTGGAAGGAGAGAACTGACTTCCACATGTTATTCCCTGACTCTCACTATGGCATTTGTGCAAATGCATGCACACACACATAAAGACTCTGTGTGTGTGTGTGTGTGTGTGTGTGTGTGTGTGTGTGTGTGTGTGTGTGTGTGTGTATTAAAATTTCAGAACAAAAAGAAAGAAAGGAAGCTGAGTGCTGAGAGTTCATAGTCCAGGGAGCCGCCTCACCTCCTTCTCGGGGTATTCAGTTTTAATCTCGGCTGCCATCTCCACTCCTGCAGAGCCACCTCCCACCACCACGATGAACTGTGAGCGCTGGATCTGAAGAAGAAGGGACCATGAAACACAGCCACATGCCTGCACGGTGGTTCAGCCTATGGAGGTGTAGGGAGGCCCTGGCCAAAGAAGGGCTACGCTCTGTCCATATTTGCGTCCAGACGGGCCTCCTCCCCACCTCACAGCATCCCTGGGGAAACAGAGAGCATGGAGCCTGGTGTGCTGTACCACATAGCAGGTGGAATGGGAGGCATGCATATATGAAGAGGTGACAAGCGGGACCAGCCAGAGACATACCCAGCACAGCATACATAGAGACTTAGGTCTGAGGGCCTCCTCTGGGAAAATATATCTCTAGCAACTCCTGGCTGCTCCCAGGCTGTTCAGGCAGTTGTGAGGTCCTCCCAGAGAGTCTCCCTGCTCCAGCCCCAGTTGTAGCCAGCTGTGCTCTGGCCTGCCCACCCACAACTGTCGGTGTGGCACACCTGCTTCACCATGTCCTCATAGGCCTGAATGGCTGCTTGCTGGCAGGACACCTCGTTAAACTTGCCAGGGAAGGGACCGGTGCTGCCGGTGGCCAGGATAAGATGTGAGAAGGGCAAGGCCTGTAGGGGATAAGAAAAAGAAATGTGAGAGTTTAGTCAGAGAGGAAGGACCGGACCACTGCCTCCAACAGCGGAGCACCAGGGGCCATGGAGCATTGCAGAAAAGAGGCTCCTGGGCTGAGTTTATGAGCCAACGCCCTGGTCCACCTCTCCCCACATTCAGGGCTCTGTACAACCAACCGACAATCCAAGAAGAAGGAGGAGAAAGTACCACACTAATGAGAGGCATATAAGGTACTGGGAGCCAGAACTGCCTAAGGAAGCAGGAGAACGTGGGATATAGACCTAATCCACATAGAGGCCGGGAACAAGAAATTGCTTGGGGAAAGGATCGTGGCAAACAAGACTCATGCCTCCAGTGTGGAGTTAGTTTGGAATCTTCTGGACATTTGTTCTTGCCACTGGGTCTCATGTATCACAGCTATGCATCCAGGGATGACCTACAACTTCTAACCCCCTGTCTCCAGCTCCAATGGAACTGGGATTATGTGTCATAGACCACTGTGCTCAGTGCTGAGGAACAAACCCAGGGCTTCATGCACGCTGGGCAATAACTCTACCAACTTAGCCACATCCCCAATTCCTCTCTTGGACATTTTAAAACCCTCCATCTATCATGCCAAGGGGGAGAGGGTGACACTTATGTAAAGGCTCGGGACAGTGACTGACATGTAGGGAAGACTCCTCTGCTTGTGTCTGCTGTGACCAAGCCTTTGTCACGAGGAATGTGCAGTGAAGCAGGAAGCAGGACTTGGGGCCCACAGATGGCTCCTCCTGGGCCTTGAGAGGCCCCCTCCCACCAGAGCACCCCCCCACACACTCACTTCACCGCCCTGTAGCAACACTGTACGGTTCTTCAGGTCTATGCCAACCACTTTGCCCTGGCGGAAGTTGTCCTTGAAGGTCACTGAGTAAGAAATGAATGTCTTTTTGGCAAACCCTGGGAACAGACACAGAAGATGTCATGAGGTCACACAGGACTGAAACTTTCCTAAGCCACATACCCACAAGGGTGCACTTGGCCACAGCCAGGCCAGTGGATATTCCCAGGTGTCTACTCTGCCCCAAAGTGCCCGTCTGGTCCTCAGAAGACCCTAAGCTCTTACTCTGGGGCTTCCTTATGGAAGATGCTTAAGACCAGTGTCTTGGGCTTAGGAATGAATCTAATGCCTGGAGCAACTTGCCCTAAATGGAGAAAATGCCCCCAATCCTGACATCATACCCCATAACAGTGGCAAGACCATGCTCTCAAAGAAGCAACTCACCACTCTCCACGGAGGCCCGGAGAGCTGCCACGTTGTGGTGGAAACAGTCCTTCATGTCCACCAGCATGAAGGGGACATTCAGCGCCTGCAGCTGGCTAGCGGCCGCTATCCCTCCAAAGCCCCCGCCTACGATCACCACATGCACAGCTCCTGTATCCACCGAGACCTGGGACCCCATCATGAACTTGGCACTGCTGGGCTGGGAGAAGAGACTACATCAGATTCAGGGAAGTGGAGGGCAGGGGTGTCCATGGCAAAAGAAAGGTTGATATCGGGAATCTTCCTCAATCCCTCTTCTCTCCATCTTATTCATTGAGACCAGGTCTCTTGATCGAATCCAGAGCTAACCAATTTGTTTCTCTGGCTTTCTAGAGATGGAATTACAGGTGGGCTGCCGTGAGCACTTGGCATGTATTGGGTAGCGAGTATCCAAATCTAGTCATCACACTTTTGTGGCAAGTGCTTTAAACACTGTACCATATTCTCAGCCCCAAGAGTTCATCTTTCATTCACAAAATTACAGCCCCATGGACACATCGATATCAATATCAATATCAATATCAAAATCAATATCAAGCCCCAAACAATATCACATACATACAATAATAATTAAATTAAATTAAATTCAAAGAAGAAGAGGGCTGGGCAGTGGGCTTTAATCCCAGCACTTGGGAGGCAGAGGCAGGTGGATCTCTGTGAGTAAGAGGCCAGCCTGGTCTACAGAGCTATTTCCAGGACAGCTAGGAGGGAAACCTTATCTCAAAGAAAGAAAGAAAGAAAGAAAGAAAGA